CAAGATGATGTTTAGAACTATTGTTATGCTTGTTATACTTGCAACAGGCTATAGTAATAATAGAATTTAGAGCTAATAGACTTCTTCATGGTTGCAAACATTTTTTTGTTAGCTCAATCTTATTTTTTAAGTTACACTGACTGATTTGAGGAGACATAAGCAATAATATGAATAAAAGGGAAGCTATAAAAATAAGTTTATTTGAAAATGGTGGGGGGAAGATACACAACTAAGGGTAGAGAGTATAATGAAGTATAAGGCAGGAATTCAAAACAATCTTTTGTGCTAGATGCAGTCTTCCCATGCAATCATCTCTTAGAACTCAATGTACAAAAAATATTTAACTGAAACCTGCAGGAGCAGAACTGTTCTTTGAAAAGGAGCTATGCTGAAAATCGGAGTAAATCAATGACAAGAATTTTCATCTGCAAAGATCTGAATTCAGGATTTATTTCACCTTTTGTTAGGAGTGTAATCATTAAAAACAGGTTTGTGTTTTTTCCCCTGTAACTGTTCGTGTTAGTATTTGTTGTCTTCAGGCATTTCAGAAGAAAGGAAGGATTTTAATCTTCAGCTTTGACATGTGAAAAGCTTTATTTCATATGACCTTACTCCCACATTGATTCTGAGACTTAAACTGAGAATGTAACTAGAGATGGGAAGTAGTCTTCCCATAATCTTCCCGCCTTTCAAGAAGAAGCTGTATCTACAAATATGTAGCAACTTCAAATGTTTAACTTCAGTCACTGTGAATGATGCAAAGTTGAGAACTAAAAAACCAACTACATCTGCCTCTACAGATTTTATATATTTATATACACACACAACCTTTTATAAAAAGTAGTGGTATCGCATATGAATTTAGCTTGCAGATTAATGGAAGCAGACAGCCTGGGCTGGATTATTTTTGGTCTTTCTGATACATAGCTTAGTTATTAGCTGAAGAGAATCCTAGGATTAAATGTGCTTCTGACACAGATTCTACTTTACAGCCTGCGTGGGCTGGGATGCCTTAGGAAATCAGTTACAGACCAGCTTTGATTTGTGTATTTCTGTAGCTAACAAAGAAGTGAGTTAACTTGCAGGGTTTCTCCAGCTGTATTGCTTCATGGTAATTACTTTTTTCTCATCTTTTTATTTTTTTTTTCCCTTAAATTGAAAGCCAGATATTTCTTGTACTGCAGCAGAAATCCTGTAACCGGCAACAGAAGATCAATGTTACGGTACTACAGATTCTCACTTTAATTGCAGGCATGGTAGCTGAAGACAGACCCTAGGAGATGAGTGCCCTGTTGACTGGGAAAGTTGCTGAGAGTAAGAAACTACTTAAGTGAGAAACAACTTAAAGTAGGCATTTTATGCAAGAAAAGGGTTAAGGGGATTTGTTCTCTTCTCCCTGGTAATGAGTAGTTCTAAGGTTAGGTTTCTGCGGATTAGAAAGGAGAGGATGTCCATAGATTAGCTAGGGCAGTAAAGGTTACTTGCTCTACTAACGTCCAGCAAATGCCTTTCCCTCTGGAAATTCTGCATGAGCTGAACATGGTGTATTCTGAGGTGTTTGCAGGTAAGGAAATACCCACTGTACTGAAACCATTGTACTGCACAGATGCATTTCCCTCTGCAACTGTGAAATTTAGGTTTTTACTCATAGCTACAGCAAAGCTAATTAAACTTGTGACATCTGTTTAATTTCCATTAGCTAAATATTAGAGAGATGTATGAATGGGGAGTGGGAGCTCAAAAGAGATTTTTTTTTTTTTCCTCACTCTTAATCTTCACAAAGTATTCTGACTTAAATGCCAGGTGCTATATGTTATTGACTTATTTTGCTGAAAGTAGGTTTGCTTCCTAAGTGTACTTGCGTACTTCCTAACTGTGCAGGGAACTACCTGTTCTGGTATGTTGAGAGAGAATGTAGAGGAAAGGTATGTGACTGGTACGGGAGTGTAAAGCAAACCCTTTCTTTGAACTACCTAGCCGTGTACTTCTAAGTTGATTTAGTATCAGTGTGTTGATGTTGTCAGGTGGTGGCTGGTTTGTGGGTTTTTTTTTTAGTAAGCCCAAGCTGTTGGCAGCAAACAGCTGGAAGTAAAGCTGGCTGCCTCACATGACTACAGTGCACTGCACCGAGTATTCTCTGAATGTGCAGCTCTTTTAGGAAGCAATGCTTTAATGGCATTTACCTCCACATAAACAAGGTACTCGCATCACCACTGGAGCTGTAAGCTTTTGTTTTAGGGGGAGGCAGAATGAATCATCACTGAATACATCTGATTATAAAGGGTAATAGCATAAATTGTTCCATCAGCAGCCTTGCATATGCAGGTGTGATTATTTAAACCTCACAGAATGCCTTATATGAACATAAAATCTGTTTAGTCTTTTTTTTTTTTTAACCTGTACCACCTCTGACCTGCAATAAGTGGTTCTTGGGTCAAGATAAGGATATATGGTTTCAAAGGACAGGTCTCTACCTTTGTTTAAAATGTGTCAATTTGTTCCACTAATATTTAGGGTTACTTTTTCAGTTAAAATACTTTTAAGGCTCAAAAAGTGTGGAGGGAAAAAAAAAGGCAAGATTTTTTTTTTTTTTTACACTGACTAGAAACGGAAGCTGGCAGACTGCAGTGATGAGACCGGCCTAATTAAGTCTCTTTAATGCAGAACAAAAAAGTCCAATAGGGCATGTCATTTGAGAGATGCGGAATGTCTCTTATTGCTACTTTATGCCTACTCAGTTTACTGAGCTATAGTGGCTGATTTGCAACAAGCCTTCTTAGAGTGTTGTTCCCTGTCCTCAAGCTAATTTGCAGTCTTCGATATGCCAAATCATTCATTGTGACAAATATAAAGACATGAGTAGTTTTCCTTGCTAAAAGTGCTCAATAACCTTGTCAAGCGCATTAACCAAAGAAGCTTGTAAGAGCAGGGGGGTTGATGTTCTCATGTCGAGTTCTCTGGTGTGGTCCCTCTTAGAGACCCTACAGCATCCACAGCTGTCCATTCAAAGACAATTCTGAAGAGTGCATGAAAAGCAGCGCTTGGCTTCACTTGCAACTCCTGTCTTGTATCAATGAGACCTTCTCTGTCTGACAAATAGAGTCAAGGAATTTCATACTCTGCTGCTGAAGGAAGTAAGCCCTGTCGCCTGAATTTGGGATAACATGTTTGTAGACCTGAGGTGACAGACTCCTTTTGACTCTAATCTCTGGCACACTCTGCAGGGATATCCAGTTCTGTCCCTAGTAACAGGCAGAGATATGTCTTCTATTAATGAGCATCTGTAATTGCGTGCAATACACGTGAATGGGAAGGACCTTAGACTGGCTAGGAGATTAGTCAGGTAAGCCTTTTAGTAAGAACTTCCATCTAATTTATTTAGATCCCTGGGATGAGGAGACCTTGAGCTCTGCCTTACAGTCTGGGTAGATCTAAGTCTTAGGAAATGAAGGCACAGTAGTAGTTACAAGTTTGTTTGAACTCTGACCTTTCCCTTTAAGCAAGCAATTTAGTAGGTCTTTTTCTAAAGAACTGCACAGAAGCAAGATACTGTTCTTCCTCTCTTGTGTTTATGACTTATTCACCATCTGTTGCTACTGACAGCTGCTGAAATCAGGCTTCACATTGGGAAGCTGCTTTCCTTTTGTTGTGTGAAAATATGAAACAGCTGCTACTTTATGAATGAGGTGAGCTGCATTGTTAAGAACTTGACAGATTTTTATGTTTAAATGCTACTTCTGTCAGTGTGAGCATAAAGTCAGTAGTTTAAAAAGGCAACAGTGGGTGGAAGGGTTACTAACTCCATGTTTACTATAAATCCTAGTGGTGCTCTGATAGCTATGCCCAAGGATTTCACCCCAAAAGGCAAGCAATCAGCATTCCATAGTTTTCCCAGCTTTTCTTAGAAATCTGAGGTCAACCTTCAAGACAGTGCGTCCAAAACTTTTAAATGCTCTCAAGTTAATCCCAGATCTATTCTCTATAGAATCAGTAATGATACCAGGAGCTACAAGGCTCCGGGGGGCAGGGGGGGAGTAAAAAATTTAGTCTCTCAAGTATTTTAAAGGGACAGCAATATTGTTAGTATTTTAGCAGAATCTGAAGTATTTTAGCACCTCCAGAAATATTCTCCTTTGTCTCTGCAGGATCATTCTCAGTAGTATATTAAAAATGAAATAAATGTTCAGTAGAAGGTTGTAGAATATTCTTTCTTTGACAGAAACAGAGTAACTTGCTTGCTTTTTGGTTTAGTTCTTTCCCATTCTGAGTCACTGTGCTGTGCAAGATCTATCCTAGCTAAGAAGAAATAAATATGATCCCGCTCCCAAAGGCTAAAAGGGACCTCGATGAAGGTATTCCTGAGAATATACTGGAGACGGTTGTGGGGTTTGTGTGGGGTTTTTTTTTTCCTCTTTTCCTTTAAACTTCTCTGTTTTGTAATGAAATGTAAGCAATGCTAATTGTCAATAAGGTGACATGCCAATTTGGTAGACAACACTGCTTGAACAAAGCAGCTCCTAGGATTATGGTAATCTCACTACGGTTACCTCAAGAGAAAAGATTCGGTTTTCAGTATGCATCTGAGGAGTCTTCTACAAAACATTTGAGGGGTTTTGCTTGTCTATTTTGAGGTTAAGGGGTCTTCTAAGCTTTCTTTTAACTAGTTAAACCAAAAAGCTTTTGGAAATATTTCTTGTCTTTCCATGTTTCCCTATATGTGTTTGCAGGGTCCCACCCTACTTAAAAGGGCATGCAGTCCGATGCTTTGAAGCTAAACAGGACAAAACATAGGAAAAGCCAGATCTAGGCTTGAAATAACTGGAGTTTTATTCTGGAGAGAGCTGGGCTTTGAATGTGAAGTCACTGTAAGTACAATGTGTTGAGAGGCTTCTGGGTGGCAGAGTATCTTTATGGATGAAAGTTGTATTTGCTTTGAGTGAACCAACTGCTATAAAAATCATACCTCTGGTAACAGATGCATATTAATAAGTAAAGTTGATCACAGTTGACAACCAGAATATATTTTTAGATGTCAGATGGCCAAACAAATTCAACTAGTATTAGGGGAGTTGTCCCAGAAAGCCCAGCTATATTATAACAGGGATTTTACTCATTCTTTTTTGAGGGGAAAAAAGTTGGATTGTTTTGGGGGCTTTTTTGAGGGATGTATGTGATGAGATTTTTAAATCTGGACTTCCAGTACGTGAAATAGAACATACAGATCAGGAGTTGGCTCCCTTATAGTACATCCAAAATGTTTGGACATGCTCTTCTTTTGTCTTCAGATGTCCCTTACCATAAAATTGTAATCAGGATTTTGAATTGGGAGTATGCTGTTAGATGTCTGTGTAGACTATATAAAGCAAAGTAAACAGCCATTGTACATGGAACCAACAGGTAGTATGTGGGAACCAATCAACAGTCAGCAGGGTCTGTCTTTAGTTCTTGAACATCTGAAAAAAACCCCATAGTTATAAAAGCTAGAGAAGGTTTAGAATTAGTAATAATAATAGGAAATGGGCTTCTGAAATGTAGCTTATGGGATAAGCTGTCAGAGGAAGTTTCCTTTCAGGACCTAACTTGCAGATTGAGTACCATCGCTTTGTAAATGCTTCTGCAACTGAATCTGGAGCTATAGACACCTACTTTCCAAAAAGAGGAGAGGGACAGAGATCAGCCAAGCTGAGGGTTACTTGTGTTTTCACACTGCTTTTACTCAGTGAAAACCAGGAGTGCCACTGTCCTGAATGTACTTTGCAAGTTAGGAATTCCTATTTCCGTGTCTATACTGTCCCACAGTAAAGATTTATGTCCTACCTCTAATGTCTTCAATAATTAAGAAACGGGTATTGATGATTAGTTTTATATGGTCTGCTTTGTTAAAGAGCATTAGGCAGATCAACCAAGCTTAACAAAGGGAAAGGCAAACTCTTAAAGGAAAAGAACTCTGACTATTGAAAAAAATTAATTGCAACTCAAAACACAGTTGCATTGGGTATTGGGGGAGGATCAAACTATATTTTGTTAGTCTTTGAAGAAGAAATCATAATTTTTAAAGGAATCTTTGAATTAGAATTTCAATAACATGTATCACCGATTATCCTGTAGAGGTAACTTGAAATTTAGTACCAATACTCAGTAACAAAATGTTTGAATCATAACCTCATAACTCCTGAGTTTTTTTCTCTCTTAATTTCCACTGCCTTCTAAAAGCAGTTTTATGATTTAATGGGAGGAAGCATGTTCTAAAAATAAGTATTAAGAAGTGCAATAAGTGACAGTAGTGCCTTCTGCTTTCATAAGCAGATCAAGATAATACTTCTCCTGCTTGTACCTTTGACAGTTTTCTGTCCATAGGCAATCTAGAGGGAAATGGCTGCCTTACTGCTTTACTAATCCAGGAGATAAACTACTGTGTATCTAACAGAATGCGGTAAGGCATTCACTGTGCATACAGTCACACTGTATTCATTGTTGGCTGAGGTGCTTGGATACCTGATGTTACAGTATTTTTAACTTGGACTCTGAATCATCTCTTGAGTGACCAGTTTAAATATTTAACGCTTTAAGATTAATCTTACAATACTGGTAATCGTGACAGTATCTCCAAACTTGTATCCAATATGATTTGAGGTTAGATCAGCTGGGATGTAATGGAGATTCTGAATTACTTCAGAGCTTTCATGTATAGGTTCCTTATGCTTTGGGGTATAAATAGCACCATACAGTGTTCCCTGGGGAGTTTCCATACTTGTTTGCAAAGAAGAGTTCTGAGAATTCTCTAAAGCAATCTCGTACTGCATTGTTTCCTATTGGCAGCAGACTGGAGTGCTTCCTCCATTTTTAGTCTAAGGCAACACTATAGGTTAGTGACAGTTTGTCACAGAACTTTAAGGGAAGGATGGAATTTGGAAGAAAATTTTAGAAGGCCTATTTTTAACATGCAAAAAGTTCAGTGTGACATGGATACATATTAATTAGTGTAAGTGTTGGCTTCCTGCATTACTTAAATTCCTATTTTAAAATTTAAAAAAAAGATAATAAGGTAGTATATGCTGCTTTTTACAATGAAAGATAATATAGGAGGGTTTTTTTTTAGATTAGCAAATAACTTCTTTCACTCCATCTCTAAAAGTAGCAACCAATTTTAAATTGCCTGAAAGAGATGAGATACCAGTACGGCAAGGTGTGGGGTTTCTTATTCACATTTGGGGGTTTTTTTGGAGTTTTAATTCACTGTGAGGAAATAGAACAAAATAACGAAATCTTTATGAAACAAATCCTTTAAAGACTTTCAATTCTAACAGTGATAGAAACAAGGATCCCCTTTTTTTTTTTTTTTTTCCAAAATCATATGTTTGCTCAATTAAAAGTCAGTGGAAACTCCAGAGCCTTTCAGTTTTAATATTGGGTCAATAACAAGAGGAACTAAATGTAATATGTTCTTAAATTTTATTATTTTCCAAGCTATATTGATGTGAAACAAGCTTTAAAAATCTTTGGAAAAAATTGTAACTTCACATGGTAGTGCACTTAAAAAGCTGGGGAACAGAAGATGTACCAAATAGATGGCTTAATGAAGCAAGCTAATGGCAATTCCATGAAGGAAATAAAATGTCATATTGCAGTTGAGGTTCGTCTGCATTTTGGATGCTGGTAACTGAATTTACAAGTGGGACTCATGTATTTAACTTACGCTTGCAACCTGCTGTGCACTTCAAACATGAATGGTTGCCCCCTTCCTTTTAAATTGTGCTTTCTTATCAATCTGAAGTACCTGACAGTATTCTGACATGAGTGTACTCTTTTCCCTAGTTCAGCATCTATCTTTTTGAAACCTGCTTGGCGTGAATGCAGTACTTAAAGAAGTGGGTGGAATCTCCTTGAATAAAGGAAAAGATGGAGGTGCCAACAGTCTGCAGTCCAGATAATGGTACTCATAACTTTTGCATCTCTTTTTCAAAGACAAAGAAAACTGACAAAAAGTTTTATTTCTTGGTCTCTGTAAGTCTTCTTCTATTGAGTTATGAGAGATGAACGTGTCTAGAAGGATTACTACTTAATAATTGGAATGATTCTTCATGTTTAATGGTGGTATGCAGTTAATTTAGAAAGTGTCAGAAAACAACTCCTGGCATCCGTTTCTTGCTTATAAAGTCAAGGGTCTCTGCAGCTGCATCAAGAATGACTAATAACTGCAAGAGGGGTTTTTTAAGTGCTTAGATGTCTGCTTTCCAGAACCAGATGATTCTTTTGATAATGAAGTACATTCCCAGGCTTCCCCAGTTTGGATACTCAATAATTCTGCCTGACTATTGAGGCAAAAGTCCCATCTGCAGAAACTTAGCAGACAACTACCTGTATAAATTTATGCATAAGGAAAATACCTCAGTGAAACTGAAGTGGAAGATATAGCTCACATAAGTGTTGTGAGATCTCACATTGAGGTCTCGAGCTGACACAGGAAATAACGGTCAATGGCTGTAAAAACTGTGCTCAGGAGAGAAATAAGTAAAGGAGGGCTTCCATGTTTAGGTTAGTTGTGATGACTGGGTGATAGCAGCTGATGATATTGTCTGCAGTAGGGAATACTCAGCTATTCTGGGTCTGCTGGATGAGCTTTAGTTTTAAGAAAATATTATTATTTTGGCTTTGGCTGATGTAACTTCAGAAGCTCCTAGTGTCTTGGTTTTATTTCAATATTTTTCTTGTATTACAATATTACCTACTGAAACACGCCAAATTTCATGTTGTAAACAAGTAAATAAAAAGGAAAGTCTCTGGTATTGTATGATGACGTTGGCACTAAAAAGCAAAGAGACAGCTTGTGCTTACCAAAATACACAAGAGTTGAACTTACTTTGCTTTAACATGCAGTGGGAGTCAGGCATTCAACTCCTATGGTCTCTTTAAGAATGCTTATAGCTTAATAAATCCAACTCCTAGCATTTGGTATGTTATTGTATTAGTGTTATTATAAACATTGTGTTTCTTGGGAAGAGCATCACGTATCAGAAATGATCTGTTGTCATTTCTGAGGTAAAATTAAATTCCATGCACGCACAAAAATCCAGTTTGTATCTAGGCCTAACTTTGTGTAACATCTGTTTGTCACCTTTTACTTTCTGCCTCCTTGAGATTTTAGAAAGACACTGAATTTTTCCGTTTTCCACTCTATTAGAATACTGTTCCTAACAGATCAAGTGCTGCTTCTAATAGTAAGAATGGTTCTTCCCCTTTCCTGGGACATGTTGTGAGTGTCTGACAACCGTACGTATTTGGCAGAAATTCACATTTTCATTAGTGATATTCTCCAAAATGTCTGCGCCTCTCAAGAGTGGAGAAAGACAGATGGTCCCTGGCCCAAACAGCAGGTCATCCAAAAGAAAAGCCTATAAAATGAACAAGGCAATTTTTTATGTTTACGTCTTCTCAGTAGGAGGTGTGAGCTTGAATCCAGACCTGATATGCGTGAGATTCCCCATGTGTTTTTCTCACGGGTCAGTTGAAAATTGCTAGTACTGACCTACCCCTGCTGGTTAAGAACATACTAAACTAAAACTCTTATACCACAGAGCTGATTGCAGGAAACAAGCAAAGCAGACAGGAAATGAGTGCACTTGTTGGAAGTATAAGCTGAGGAAAAGCGTTTTTTGAAGGCCTGGGTCACTGTTTGGCTTTGGTTGGTCTTCTATCTATACTGAAGTGTCTTGCACTTTTCTGTTTCTTGGGCTCAGGTGTATCTCATGTTCTGACTCTAGTGCTAGAAGAACTGAGTTTGCTCTGTAAAAGAGATGTCAATGGTGTTGGCATGTTATATGACCTGCTGCGATCTCGCTGGCTGCAAGCACTTTTAAAGGTAAAGTAATATTCAGCTGTGAAGGCAAAGGTTTCCTAGAGAACAATTTCCAGCTGCTTTATTTGCCATATTAGATCAATAAATGCTTATTTACACTAACTGCTGATAGTCCTGATGTTGGTCCTAATATCAGCAGTCAAGGTGAACAAAACCACTTCTGCTTTAAACAAAAAAAAAAAAGTATTCTCTTTCATAATGTCCTAGACATTAAAGCTCTTCTACTTTACACGTCTGTATTAAGGCCAGGGGGCTGGAGACATAGGCTGAATGCAGCACTGCTCAGCTGTCTTTTCTATTCCTGAATCTCTGCATGGCTATGCATGCTACTTTTTGGCATGGATGCTTGAGAAATTATATTTTTTGAGTTTACACGCACTGATCTGAGATGTAATTGAAGATTTTATGTTGTTATAGAATGGAATTTTGGCTGGTGTTTCTCTCTTGAGCAGAGCTATATCTGAGACATTCTGTACAAATTCTGCTTTTCCTATAACAAGGATTTTTAAAATCTCTAAGATTCAAAGAAAAACAGCTTGCAGTGGGTAAGAATGTCCATAAGGCCATTTTAAATACAGCAATTTAGTTTAAGTTAAATTTACTTTGTTAATCATGCCTGCAACTAGAGGAAGGAAGCTACAAGTCAGAGAATTGATGCTATCAGGTTATTGTCCTGTGTAATCAGCTTTTCTTATTGGAAAATTCAAAACTACAGCATAACTGCCCAGCTGGATAATAATATGGAAAGACAATGAATTATAGATTCAATTCCAGATGCATTAGACATTAAGAATTGAGATTGCAAGCTCTTTGGCTTGCAATTCTAGAAATCAATATTGTCCATTGTGTGTGTATCTATATAATCATGTGACTAGATCGTGTATCAACATTGCACTGTCTTGTCTATCATGGCATGCAATAGATCTATGAATGCCTCCAACACTATCTCGGAAAAAGACCAGTTCCTGTCACACTGCAGGCACGTGCACTGAATCGTGAGGTAAGACCGTATATACATAGTGTATTGCTTTACTTACACTTAATTAGTCAACTTAGCTGCAAATGACACTGTGGCATTCATTTTGTGACTCAGGTCTGAGTACACTACATAAACCGGAAAGATTCTGTCCTCGCACATTTGTCAAACTACTTGATAACTCTTACAGTGTTAAGGGGGTAGGGGGGATGAGCAATGTGTACAGCTGTGGTCACTAGACTGCATGAGCCCTGGCCAGTGTAATGAACACATGTATTGCTTGTTTTAATAACTGGACAGGTATTTTTCTTCCCATGTAACTGTGTGATTCAGTGTTACAGCTGCAATCAAGCAGCCGGACATGATGATTTTGAAAAGCTCTTTGGACTTTTCTAATCATAATAACTGATTAATTCTTAAATTTCTGAATTAGCGTGAGAGTTAATGGCTAAGTGGAGAAACTGACACCAGTGATGTAATTGGTTGAGGCATAGGACAAAAAACTAATTTGGAGCACGTGGCACTGTGCCTGAACTAAATTAAGCCTGGCTGAGTGTTGTGCAGCTGTGGTCATATTGTCCAATGCTAGAGCAAACTGTACGGATGTGCTCTGAGTCATATAACATGGGGAGCTTAACACTCTCACCGTACCATATTCCTCTACATTCAGTTTAGAGTGTTCTAAATTAATTGTCCTCCAGAACCAGTCTCTGTGCTTTCTCTCTTAACATTTACCAGGTGGTAGAGTTACTGCGTGAAGCCCCTCAGTCTGGAGAGATCAAAGAGCTAAGACGACTACTGCGTGCTCCACACTTAAAGGCAAGTCCTGCATAAGGAAAGAAAAAGTTTGCTCATAGAGCTGTCTGCAGTGGGAAGGGAAATGGCCAGCTGTTCACAAGCATTGGCAAAGGAGCTGGAAGAGACAGCTTCATGAACTAACCTAGCTGTGAAATCAGATGTGGACTGTGTATCTGAAGCACCTGCAGTGGGCTACATTTTATTTAATGGCTATGTTTGAGAGATGTTTTCTTAAAGTTTAATTCCAAGCAGTTGATGCAGACGTACAAAACCAGATTTTCCTTGTAATTACAAAACCTGACTTATTTACCCTAGAGCTTCAGATAGAAATGTTTCATCTTTTCTAAGTTTTCCAGAAGAAGCGGAGAGGAATTTTTTTTAAAACTTTCTTTCACAGTTTGAATTTCCAGGTGGAAAGAAGAAAACATCAACGTGATCTATGTTCACATAGGAAGTTAATCGCTGTTTTCTGTTTTCTGACTAGTCACTGTTTAAAGCTGTTCTATTGTATGATATTTGCATATGGGTTGGTTGGTTTGTTTTTGTTTGTAACAGGCCTTGCTATCTGCTCATGATACTGTGGCCCAGAAAGATTTTGAACCAACCCTTCCACCACTGCCAGACAACATACCTGAAAATGAGGAAGCTATGAGGATTGTCTGCTTAGTGAAAAACAACCAGCCTCTGGTGAGGGAGCTTTCTGGTGTCTGTCAAATCATTTTAACCTACACAAGCATTGATAATGCATCACACGCCTGTTGGTTTCTCTCCAGGAACATCACAGATTGTGTGCATTCTGGTCCAGATTTTAAAGAATCACAAGCACTGTCGAGGCTGGAAAGGGTCTTAGGAGATGACGTAGCCCTACTCAGTGCGGGTACAACTACAGCAGGTTGTGCAGTGCCTTGTCTGCTTGGGGATTGAACATTTGACAGATGTTTTTATCTCATATAATGAAAACACAAATTAGATTGAGAGCTATTCCCTTGGCCAAAATAGTAAAGAAGGGAGAAGAGACTCTGAAAGGTTCTTTAGAAATCATTTGTGCTTATGAGCAGAAAACATTGTCTAGGGTAACTAATCTGTTTTAGGAAAAGATAGGTGTCATATCTGAGATGGAAAAGACTTCTTACAGTCAGTCAATGAGGTTATTTTAGTATGATGGAAGTTAAAGACATTGAAGCGCTTGGTACTAATAATGGTACATTATTGCTGCTAGATCCCTGTGGTGTTCAAAAGACTTATCTTTCGATGCCTTTTTGTCATGGTGAAGATCAGACTTGTGATGTGAAAGGAAACTTCCTGGAATTCTTCAGTGATCAATGTTTTTTTCCTTTGTTGTTATTTGCCAGGGTGCCACCATTAAACGCCATGAGGTAACAGGTGACATAACGGTTGCCCGTGTGATCCATGGTGGGCTAGCAGACAGAAGCGGTATGTGTAATTTGAAATGACGTGATAGAAAAATTTGAACTTGAAATAAGGCATTTGAATTATAACTTAGCTTCTAAAATTAGTCTTCCATTATAAAGCAAGAAGGTGTGTGCGTTGGATGGCATTGTAAATAGTGATAAGTTGCAGCGACTTTGATTTAGGTTTCATTAATTTCCATATGAATGTGCAATGTTTGAGACTGAGTTGAGGTACAAATCCAGCTTTCATTATGTATTCTTGGCACTAACATCTGGATAAATCTGTCATGAGATTGATCAGAATATCCCAAATTGCAGTGTAGTATGTACACCAGCAGCTCATTCCCTAATGGAGAAATGGAAAACATCAGTAGTCTGTGATTCTATAAGATAATGGGCTTTAAGGAATATGTAGTAATACCTTTTGGCAACTAGTCTAGTAAGCACTTCGGTAGCATTAGTTGCTAAGCAGTCTTCCAAGGAGTTTCCTTGGAAATGTTACTACTTTGTCATCCTAGAATTGAATGTGTTCCATGTTCCTTGGGAAATGCAAGGTAACTAAAATATAAAACATTGGAAGTAAAATTGAACTGTAATCATTATAAAATAGTTCCTTTTAGTATTTTCTGGCCTTTGTATGGAGAAGAAAACCCAAACCGTAGCAAATAAGTGATTAAGTTCCTAGTGTGATTAATATTTTAATTGAGCTGAAGGAAAATGTAGAAGTAAACAATATTGTGGAAACTTTGTAAAGGACAGATAGGAGTTGCAGGGCCTCCCATTGCACCTGGAATTTTTAAGGGTCTGATTCAAAGTCTCATGGTCTATTAATATAATGGGTTTAGCTGGAACAGGTTGAGAAATTACTTTGGGAAATTAAGCTATATTAAAATGTTTCTGCTGCTTTTAAAGCAAATAATCAATAGATTGTAAACTTGTTGTATGGGGCAAGTGGGAGGAAACAAGGAAACTGAAGCATATAAGCTTCTTGTGACCCACAGAAGTCTGCAGCCCTATCCAGGGGCAATATAGCCTGAATCCAAAATGCTTTCCTGCATATCTGGTGTATGGAAACTTTTAATGCTGACTTCCAAACCTGTGGTATATCTGTGTCCCTACTATGCCTACCCAACATAATCCATGCTGTGATAAAACTGCTGCTGCTGCTTTCATCCTTGTTTTCCCTGTAGGGCTGCTGTATGCTGGAGACAAACTGGTAGAAGTAAATGGAGTTCCCGTTGAGGGACTTGAGCCTGAGCAAGTTATTAATATTCTGGTATTGAATCTTTTTTTGAACCTTTTTTCTACTTTGTACCTTAAGAGTAACTGTATGCTGTTTCTTTTACACACACATACTCTTAGAGGAGAAGGTCTGAAATTTTTAACAGAAAATTCAGATTGTTTCCTTACTGTGGATGAAGTTCACAACTCTCATGAAATCAGAATATATGAAACCAGAATTAAATCTAACCCCTGTTCTGGACAGAAATTAACTTATTGTGACCATTCCACCTGCAGCTTCTGGAAAAATACTAATTTATTCAGACTTTACTGATGCATAATTTTTCTGGAAGCTCCACTTAGTTAATGTTCCACAAGAAAGTAGTGAAAAGGTGCTGTTCTAATAAGAGTCCGTGTTACAAAATGCACTAAAGCAGAGCAAATAAACTTGTAAGCTACAGACCTCACTTTCCAAAAAAAAAAAAAAAGGGCAGTGGTAATTACTGTTGTCAGAATTCTTATGAAGTAGTCTGTTGAGCTGTACCTGAAACTCATAATTTTACCCACAGTCTTTCAGTGTTCCTCACTGCGAAGTGGTAGTGCCAGTCAGTTAGGTATTGCTGTACATAATCAGTAGCAAGTCTTTCTAAGTTATTTTCCTGGTTGTACTATTTCTAGGCAAGAAACACAAACTCTATTGGAATGCTTCATTCTTAAACATTTGTAATTTTTTCCTTCTCTACATCACTTGTGTAACCAGACCCTGCTGATAATTTAAATTAGATTTCAGTAGAAGAGTTTGGTATGAATTAATGTTGAAATTGTATATATTTATAATGAAACATAGATTTCAGTGAATTTAAAATATTTAGCAAGATGTTGAAGTTTCATTCTTGAGTTTCCTTTTGAAAAAAAATACAGTATTGTCACATTGACTCTGTCTGCCTAAATTCTATTTGTCATATAGACGTTACAGTAATCTCAAAGCCATGCTGTGTTAAGCTCGTGCTGCCAATGTTTTGTTATTTGTGTTGAATACCAGTGTGTGTTTTCATATTTTAATTTCATCTTTTAATCCTTTTCTAATCATTTAGGCCCTGTCTCAGGGGACAATTATGTTCAAATTAATTCCAGTTTCAGATCGGCCTGTCAGCAATCAAACAACAGTAAGAGACTTTTTTTTTTTTTCCCCTGGATTGTTACTGCCAACAGTTACCCCAGTGATATCTAATGGTGCGATACAAAGAAATGGTGTTTCTTAGAAGTTTATTGTAATCCTTAAAGTGTTACTTGCCTGTACGGCTACCTCTCAGCTGACATCAATATGCTGTTGCTGAAGCAGTAAAGATAGTAAGCAGAAATACAGTCATGTTAAAGGTAATGAAGACATGTTCAGTGATCTACAGGTTGAAGGTCAATTTTTTTTCACAGTGTGTGAGACAATTTTTTTTTCCCCTCCCTTAATGAACAGATAGGTTTTGGGGCTTGATCTGACTTTTAAAACTTGATTTCATCGTGAATTGACTTAAGTAGCAGCAACACCTGGCCCCGTGACTATAAATCTCATGTTGTATCTTCTAAACACGGCTTCCACTTACTCTTGTATATTTTCTTTGCCAGCTCTATGTGCGAGCAATGGCAGATTACTGGCCCTTGCAAGATCCTGCCATACCATGCGCTGATGCAGGTTTGCCCTTTAAGAAGGGTGAAATACTCCAGATTGTGGACCAGAATGATATGCTCTGGTGGCAGGCCAGGAAAGTTTCAGATCTCAGTGCCTGCGCTGGACTTATACCCTCAAATCATCTTCTTAAAAGGTAAAGAAGTCATAATGTTTCTGATTTCCAGTTCAAAAATTAGTCAGTTATTCAGACTTTGCTATTTAAAATTTTCCTACGTTATAGAGCAGTATGATTCAGAGTGACATCTGACAAACATCTTTCCTCATTCTGTCTCCAACTTCTTGCTCTCCTTCCCTTAAGAGTACCTATGTGAGAACAAGCTTTTGAAAGCACCTGCATCACTTTAAATTGATGTCCAAGAAGTTGGCAGCAGTTGCCTAGTATCTATGCTAGTTGCTAAGATAGCTAGTGGAGTGTGGCAGCTGAAGGATGGGTAGAAATTAAGGACCCTGACTGTTTAGGATCATCATCTATGATTAAAGGGGGGGGGAGGGGGCAGCAGGGAAGAGTGGAATAGTAAACATATAGTACAAGGGCATAGCTGTATCAAGAAATAGTTTTGGGTTTTTTTTAAAGATGTCCTGTGAGGCATGAGTGACCTCTTCAGCTTTGGTCAAAACTGAGTAGACCAGATTAAAAGAAAGGAGAGAAAAAAAAATCTCAAAACAAAAAAAACCCCACAAGCTCACAGAAGAACAAGGATCTCTTGCCTATTATTTTCTGTATAAATAGCCCATTATTTTTACACTACAGGCTTTCAGAACCAGAGTACTAAACTGCTGTAGCATGCTTTTCAGTTTGATCCTCTAACCACGTGTTCTGTCTGTGTTACCCTCAGGAAAACATAAGGCCATGCAATTGTAGATGATAAGCTTTGATTTGTACTCTATGTAAACCAAGCTGTGGTCTGTATAATGAAAGGTTAAATCAAACTAGGTTGTGATTAAGGCTGCAATCAAGAGGCTCTGTGTAATAACAGGGACAGTAGTACTACTACACATAGCAGTAGCACACTCTTCTGCTTCCAGGAGTCTGTACCACAGTATGGTTTATCCTCCTGTCCTTATGTATAAACTCAAAACACTCTAAATAATTCTGGGCTGCTGATTTGGAAACTGCTTTTAAATATTCTGATAGTATGTTGTTTTTCTTTCAGGACTTTGCAGTAGGCTAAAACATTGGTAGTGTTTCCATTCTTGGTGTCATCTTGTCAGCTCAGTACTGATTGATCTTACATGTAAGCAGTGAATCTGACTGGAGCATAATGTGCTTGTGGACTGTTTTGTTTAACTTGATAAATTTATTTCTATGTAGGAAGCAGCGAGAATTCTGGTGGTCTCAGCCTTTCCAGCCCCATCTCTGTCTCAAATCATCAATGTGTGAGTGACAAGTTACTTGAATGGTAGAGTAGGAAAGAAAGGTCTTGTCTCTTTCCAGGGATACTGAAATAGAAGCTTATACAATTCACTTTAATACAAAGACATTGTTTCTGGAGCCATATTGTAAACTTGGAAGTGTGTAATTATCCCCAGGAAAACAAATACTTAATGGTAGTTGCACCTGGAGTACTGCTGGTCTCTGACCGTGAAAGAAGCTGTGAATTCAACTCCTCCTAAAGTCTGTAAGATCTAGGAGCTCTCTAGGAGAACTGGGTGTGAGTAGGTCTTGAGGTGACAATTGTACTAGCCTGGCTTTCCAGGGACACAGATAACAGTTCTGTACTGGAAGATGCTATGTGGTACGTTTAGAGTTTCCTTGTCCATACAACTATTGTGAGAAAGACAGAACGTTTTTTCTTGAGGGGTAAGATAAGCTATGGTGTCCATGAGTTTATTCATGGTGACAATCCAGAAACATTATCCTCTGCCAACTAGAACTTTCTGTATTACTCCCAGACAAAGAATGTTCTTCCTGTTTTTTCTCTTCCCATTGTCTTCTATGGTTCTTCACACTAGTAAAAAATTAATTTTTCTCTTGTGGTAACTCCCAGATTGAGTGTGTTTCATTGCCTAGAATTCTTCTTGCACTGTCTGCTTTGTTTTTTAGAGCTAGGGCTCTCTTTCACCATAATTTTATTGCATTTTAACTGCTTCAATGGATATGCTGTGGGCAGTAAGCACTGTGGAAGAAGGTAAGAGATTGTATCTGGACAACGTTGCATTCCTGTAACCTGGAATCAGTATAGCACATGGGTTTACAGGCTTTTTAAAAAGTTGCCAGAAATGAGGCAGTTTGGTAAATACATGCCGAGCTGGTGGCATTTTGTGTGCTTAGCATCATTGAAATCAAGCCTTTTTTCACTTGAAATAGTAGAAGCTTACATTGTCTTAAAGTGGAAATTTAAGCTATGGACTATCTGGTAGGGAACTGACAGTTTGGACGGGTTGGTTTGAGGAAGGAAAGACTACGTTTCCTCTTCTTTTCCTCTCCTTCTTTCTCTCCCATCTTCAGCAGCTGACTCTGAGAGAGTATTTCTTTAAAGGATACATATGGGCAGAATACGGTTGACAGATGCTCTGACGATTGCCCTGTAACTGGAAAATAGCTCCTACGGGGCCTATCTGGAGGGGCACGCAAAATGGAACACACAAACAGTGCAGTATTGTGAGCCCGTGAGATTGCCCAAGCCCACAAGATTGCATTTCAGGGATGTGAGTTGATGTGGTCTGGGGATGGAGAGGGAGCTGAACCAATCCTTTCTTTTTCTTTTCTTTCTTGTAAAAATACTAATAAAACTAAGCAAACAAAACACTTTCCTTGAGTGAAGCATAGTGGAAAGATGCACGCTTTTAAAAGCTACAGGAGAGAAAGGAGTGAATGGGAAATTATATTCTGTCATGGTAATACTTAATAGATATCTACAGGATAAAGAGAGCAACAGCCATGTTAAAACTTTTGTTATTTCAAAAGGAGAATTCAAGTTAGACACGTTTGCCTCTGCCACAAGCCCTTCAGAGCACAAGTTTAAGTGTTCCCTCACTAAAGACAGGGAACATCAGTAAATTGGAGTTACCAGTTAAAATTCTTAAAGATGTCTAAAGCTGATCTGAGCTTCAAATATTTTTTTTCTGATGTCTGAGTTCAGTCTTGTACGATCTGTAAGGTTTTTTTGCTCCCTAGTGTTTTTCTGATTCGGATGAATTTTTTTCCTTGTGTTGATCTGTAGAAGATGACATGCAGATTGATGAGAAGTGTGTGGAAACAGGTAACTGAATTCACTTCCGATTATTCCATTTGCTTCAAGGTAGTAGCTAGTTAAAGTCATGTTTTGTTTCCAAGATAAAAACACTCATTCTCCTAGTGGTAGAAAATTCGATTTTTCATACCCTGGAAAACTCATCCTATATTAGTGTATTAAAATAACCTGTTTGCAGTGCTGGTGTCAGTGCTTGCAGTGAAATGTTGTGCCAAGGAGAGGGACCACCCCAAAAATAGCTGCCTGAATAAGATACAGCCTCTTTGATTCAGGTTTTGGACTGTGGCTGTAATGTTACCATAGTTTTTGCCTATTGTGGATTTAATGCCACGGATGATTGCAGTCTTGGAGAACCCATACAATTAATTGTCACTAAACTGATCTCCGGAGTATTTTCTAGGCACTGAGCAAGAATAGGTATTTACATGTAAATAGTACATGTGAAGATTGTTAGCTTGACTTGCTTCCTAAAGAAACACAGCTCATTCTTTCTTCTCACGAGGTAATTCAGAAAGCTCTCATGGAGGGATGTGATCATGTAGGGCTGGGTGGAGAGAGACCAGATAATTAATTCAAGTATTACAAGCTGTATTTTGCCATCTCAATGCAGAGGGAAGTGGGGAATGTATGTGTGAGACAGACAGACAGGAGCTGGAAAATTGATTTCTGGTTCTGAAATTCTATAGGAGGAAAAGAATTAAATTTTGAATTTATTTTAATATCTTTGCTATCTGGATTACTAAACAAGATGAAGAAACATTTGAGTCTGGTAAGTTCCTCTGACCTAACTCCAAATTCCTTGCTATTGTTCTGCTGTGAGAAGGGTGTCCAGAAACAAGCAAGTGTCTTAAAAACAAGCAGGTAACAAAAAACAGAATGCCATTTTAGCTTTAGAAGCCCTTCTGGCTTGAAAAGCCATTATGTAAAATCCTGTTGCCTTAAATCTTCCTCTTGCTCCCTGATTACCTTAGTAGTAAGGTTTTTGTCCTGTTATCCCAGAAGTGTGAGTGCTGCTTCTCGTGCATCAGTACCAGATCTGTTTATCAAATCCCAATCAGTTACACCCATGCAAGCTGTGACAGCAGGGGCTGCACTGATGTCAGTGGATAATTGGATTACCTCCATTAAGGTATTGGAGGCCTGAATCCCCAGTGCCTGTAGGAGCTGATGTGGTAGAGAGCTGTGCTGGATTCCTGATTGTGTGCATGACTAGCATACAAGAAACAAAAATGCTTTTATGAAATGAATGATTTATGTGTAAGAGATACAATCAATCAGTGCCTTTTTTTTTTTTTAACAAAGCCGTTTTGGAGTTGGTTTTTTTTAGGGAGCAGATACCTATTTACAGCATATCCAGAGTTCTGCAAAACTTAAGTCTTTAAAAGAAATCATTTCCACAATAAAATAAATGTACTACTGCTAAACTTCTTGTTTGAAATATTTGGTAATCTTCTGGAGAAAATGTCATTCCACCTTACACTTGCTCTTTTCCACAAGGTTCCTACTTGCCAGTCAGATCTTCTCTTATCACAGAGGTTTGGTCTCTTCCACTCTCCAAGCAATGCCCAAAGCTCTCTTAAAAGACAGAACCAGGGCAGTCCTTTGTTTTCAGGTTAGGATGTTTCTGATAACTGCGCTTGGGGATTACTCTTGCAAATCCTATTCACTACTCGGTGCTGAGTTGGCTCTCTGCTGTATCCAGACAATCAGAGGAATAAAGGTGCAAATATTTGCTATCCTACATTTTACTTTCAATTAACCAGTAGTTGAACATCTGTGTGATGTAGTTTGCAAGTACAATACTGACATAGATGCTGTAGCTGAGTCTCTCATTCTTTGGGAACTGAGAATTCAAGCTCAAACAGGTATATTTTAGATTTAAAGCCTGCAGTACCTGCTTCCTAAATTTCCTAAATGCATTGGATGAGGCTGGTTGGATTTTTTTTTTTAATCTTAGTATAGACTGTCTTCTCAAAGCTAATGGGTTTATATCTGTCTCTATCTGAATGTGCAGAGGAGCTTAAAGAAGGTAACACTAACTTTTTTTCTCCCTGTCTACTGCAAGAAGTAATCTATTAGAATGTGTTTATTATATTACCAGGAAGTACCATTCCTCTTAGAACACCTAGTAGCTGAATTGCTTGTTCCTTGTAGAATTCCACAGTGCACTCCATATCATAGAACACAGGGTAGATAAAGCAGAAATGCTCAAAAAGATTTGAATGACAGCTCAAAAGACCTGAACATAGAAATGATACAGGTATATGTCAGCTGAACAGTACTCTGAACTTTTGCCCTGAACGAGGAGTTTTGTGACACGTTTTTTCTAGAGTCATAAGCAAAGAGTTGTTTGTACATATAGAAATGTAGGAATAAAACTGTATTTTAAAGTAACAAGCAGTGAAAAGTGATGTGAAGAGAGAGTAACTAAGAAGCATCTAATTTTGTTTTGATACTTGCATGCTTATGAGACAACTGTCAATCAAAGAATCTAGTGCTAAAAGACGATACATTTTGTGCTTTGCAAATGAAAATAATGTTCTTGCCTTGGAACAATTACTGCCTTTAAAGATATGCCTGTGTAGTCTGTATCTTGTTCTTGTTTTAACAAGGCCTAAATAAAGGGAATACACAGCTTGGATAACTGCATGCATGATTAGGAGAAAATTAGGAGTCCTTTTTAAAGAGAAAGCTAAACAGTACTGACACCATTTTTTTCCTTAGTTAGTTGTTTTCGAATCACCTTTATAAAATAGTTTCTAAACTGTTAGAGCATTGATCCGTTGAGAAATTGATATTTTTGAGCCTTATAGGAAAGATTTCATTTACAGAAAATACATACAGAGATTTAACCTGAACAGTTAAGCCTTCACAAAGAACAGCATGAGAATGGGGGAAAAAAAATAAATCAGAGGAAATGGATTAGTCCGGGATGTTGGAGCACATATATCACTGATCCAAAGATGATGCAAAAGAAATAATAAAATCAGGTCTCCATTCTGCCAGAAAGATCTGAGCAGATGCATGTTGCGTTTTCTAAGCATGCTATTGAGCAGAAACAGAATTATAAATTTCTTATTTCTGATCTTGAGCTACTGACTTGTTGGTTATTGTAATGTTACAACTAAGGAATTCTTGTAAGCTACGTTTCACCTGCAAAGCTTAAATTATGTTGAGGTTTTTTCACTATAAATATTTCAAAACAATGTCTGGCATCTAGTTATCTTAAGAATGAAACAAAATGTGTTTCAAATCTAATTTGGAAAATATCAAGACTTTCTAAGTTTAATTTTTCTCTTACAGAAATATTGGTCCTTTGAATTGGTCATTGGTCATGTGAAATATTTGCGTATTTCATATTATGGAGTATTCTGCTTTTTTATTAGATTAGGCACAGTACTTCCATATGTTTACTTAAACACTGTTTTTCATTTGTGATCAGCAATAATTGTTAGCCATTCAGCTCTTAAGCTTTCACTGTTCTTTTTTTATTTCATGAGTATTTGTTCTTCGTATTCTAGAAGAGGAAGAATTTGGTGAATTTGGTCGAGTCTTTATTGGTACGCAGTGACTAAAGATAAGTAAGATGTCTGGGGCTTGATCTAGATTAAGTGCTTGTCTGAAGTTAAAATGCTTTGTCCTTCCTTTCACCTAAAGACTTAACTGAATTGAATTGAATTCTATTTGCTCCATTTTCCAAACTTCAAGAAGCTGCTTTCTTCCTACTAATGCTTGTTCTTTCCATTTAAACATCTCTTCCTGTTAGGTTTCTACTGAGACCTGGTCACCACTATTTTAACTTGACTGGCTGTTAAGATTTCCCTTCACTAGAGCATGATGTTTTCTGTCACCCATTGAGAATAATCATGAGGGCTTTCATTAGAACAGTAGACCTAAAAATGAGGTTTTCAGAGTTGAATGGTAACATGGAGCAACAAACCTATCCGTGTTACTAAACCACTGTGAACTTTAAAATATTTGGATTCATTCTGGAGGCTGGAGCAAATGTTCCAGATTTGCTTTAGGAGAGTGAACCAGCTACGCTATCAAAAAATAGTTTATCTGTTCCCTAGTGATGTTTTATGTGGCCAGAAACCTCCTTCAGCTTGTTTTGGGGCTTTTTGGGGGTCTTTTTAATTCTGGGCTAATTTTCAGGTGACTTTCAGTGAGATTTGACCTCCTTTTTAGCTGTTTTTTAATGCTCAGAGGTTCTACCAAGCTGACATACCGAGTGCAGCAATGAAATTCACAAATTTTTCACCCTGCAAAAAGCTCAACAAACCAGTATGTTGCGTGGCTTAGAAAAAGACACTCTAGACTAAAGAACTAGTTGCCTGCATCTTGGGTGTATTTTCCAGTACTGGTATCTTTGCACCTTACAGCTGGTTTCCGTAGAAGTATGCGCCTGTGTCGCAGGAAATCCCGGACCAACCAGCAGTCATGTTACACTCGGTGTCCCAGCAGCTGTTACAGTGCTCTTGCAGCTCCGTATGAAGAGGTTGTTAGGTACCAGCGGCACCCAGCAGACCGGAACAGACTAATTATACTAGTGGGTAAGAGGTTAATTACTCTCTCATGCAAATTTCACAACCTGTAACAGCGGGGAGCAAACAATCAGTCATGGACTGATCCACTGAGCTTTCCTGCTGCTGATGGCAGTGGTTGCAGACTGTGCAGGTAGCTCTCAAAGCAACATTTCAACCCCGTTATTGTTTTTAAAGTTTAATGTATGTATCATCTTCTTTGCTTGAGATAGTAAATGTTTAAAACAAAATAAATCCTTAGAAGCAGCCATACAGTTATGAATGCTGGTTGATACTGGATTTTATTAGGGACATGGTTCAGTTTTGTATTTAGTTGGGACTGGTACAGAAGGTGATGAGAGAACGTTTGTAACTTACTAGAAAGCATCTTTACATGGAGGCATTTCTACAGCCAGTGTTAAGTGCATGGATATGGCAATGATAAGGAGAATGTTTAAAATTAAACTCCAGACTAGAAAAATCTCAGTCATGGGCAGTAGGGAACGTTGAAAAGATGCCTTTAATAATGCTTGCTGCAGGAAATACTGCGTTAAGTGGGCTGCAGGCTCTCAGGTAGTCTTTAGTGATAGTGATGGAAAGGAAGCTGTTGTTCTGCATTGTTCCATGATCCTGATGAAGCAAACTGGGTAAAGGCAAAGCCGTTGTCCTTTCTAAGACCAGAATTATTTGATTTTTTTTTTCTTTTAAAATTGTATTGCTGAGTTGCTTCCTGGGTATGACTATATTGCTAGGAAGCGATTCCTACCCTGAATCAATCAAGATGCTTCAGTCACTTCTGGTGCATTTTTGGTAACTTATTTACATTTCATTTGTGTGTGCAATGTGTTAGAAAACAGGGGGGGTGCATGCGAAAAGTGCCTCTGTCAGTAATATTAGTGCTTTTTGAACTTTTCAGGTCCTGCAGGAGTTGGTGTGAATGAGCTAAGGCGAAGGCTTATCGCAAGTAACCCACGAGAGTTTCAAAGTGCCATACCTCGTATGTAATGTTCTTTTCTTTCCCCTGCTACTTCCTTCAAAGGTGATTAGGAAGTGTCAAGTCCTTCCCTCTTGCCTTTGTGTTTTCATACACTCTTTGCTGTGTGGCTTTTTTTTTTCAACTCTACTGCAAGCCAGAGTCCTTTGCTTTTCTAAGGATTAGTTTAAAATACTATCTATCTGCTTATTTTGGCAAATCTGCCAAAGGTATTTTCAAGTTACCCCTCCTGAAACCCTTAAAGCTTAATGTAACAGTAGATTATTGGCATGATTTTGTTTAATCTTGATGTTTGCTTTTCCTAGATTTAAAAATAAGAATGTTTCTTAGGGATATTGTAAGTTCATAGTGTTTAAGTGATAAGATATAAGAATGAAGGCAACAGAAGTTGGTGCTTAGTAGGCTTTGCAGCTTTCCTTATTAGCCTTCTAGTACCAGATGAGACTTACACAGCCTAATTTCTGACGTAATAACTGAAATTGTTTCTACCTGTTCTTACTTGTGATTTGGGTAACCAAACAGGAAATGCATGAATCTGGATGAGCATATGCTCTGCTGGGTAAAACACTGGCTGGATGGCTGGGCCCAGAGAGTGGTGATCAATGGACTTAAATCTAGCTGACGGCTGGGCACAAGTGGTGTTCCAGGGGGTCACTACTAGGGCCACTTCTGTTTAACATATTTATCAGTGATCTTGATGAAGGGATAGAATGCGCGCTTAGTAAGTTTGTAGACGACACCAAGTTAGGTGGGAGTGTTGATCTGCTTGAGGGTAGGGTGGCTCTACAGAGGGACTTGGACAGGCTGGATCAATGGGCTGAGGCCAACTGTATGAGCTTCAACAAGGCAAAGTGCTAGGTCATGCACTTGAGCCACAACAACACCATGTAGCACTACAGGCTTGGGGATGAGCGGCTGGAAAGCTGTCCAGCAGAAAAGGACCTGGGTGTACTGATTGACAAGTGGCTGAATATCAGTCAGCAGTGTGCCCAGGTGGCCAAAAAAGCCAATGGCATCCTGGCTCGTGTTAGGAATAGTGTGGCCAGCAGAAGTAGGGAGGTGATCGTCCCCCTCTTCATGGCATTAGTGAGGCCACACCTCGAGTACTGTATTCAGTTTTGGGCACCTCAATACAAGAAA